ATCATACAGCTCAGGCTGGGCTGGTGAGCTGAGTGCCTGCTGAGAGATGTTTTGAGTTAGGGCACCGATAGCATCAGGTCCCACCGCTGAGATCACATATATGAGAGATCATAAACATAAAATAGCCTCAGCTACATTTTCTTTGCCGGTTGATTTTAGAAGAACACTGATGTCACTGTGATCAAAACTCGAAATGAATTTTTAGTACTGGTCATACCTATGTAAGAGAGAAGCACAGCTCCCCATCAGCTCCTGCAGAGCATATGCCTTGCTGTACCCAGTGGAAGAAGCTAGACTGGCGCAAGTGGAAATGGAGTACTTCACTGAGCTGTGTGGTCAAGTCTAGTCCACAAGGCCCAGAATCATGCTCAAGATCTTCCCTTCCTCCCTCGCTTCAGTGCTGATTCCTGATACGACAGAAATCAAGAAGGAAGGAGCACGTCTTTTCTGATGCATCATGATTTCTGCATTACTCCCCAAAAGGCCTCTGTTACTTATCATTATGGTAGAGCTTAACCCTCTCACAACTTCTTTTGACTTTTATCTATGAGCAGTGGTCTCCATTTAGACTTTGAAAGGAAGCAAACATCCATTTCTAAAGATTGAGACGTCACTTATGTTATGCAGCTTCACAAAGCAGACAAAATGTTCAGCATCGAAGCAGAGAACATCACAGAAAAATTTCGGCTCACAAGTAAATGCCAGTCAGAAAACAGAAACACTATTTACTGCCTCCCAAACTGAAATTTTGAAGTATGCTTTACATAGAACTACTTTCCTGTGAAGTAGTTTACATTGCACTGCAGAGACAAGCAGTACAGGAGTGCCACCTATAACTGAGTCCTTAACAAGTATCTAAGCCTTCCTCCCCTTTTAATCATACTCTTTGAAATCATTAAAGATTCGTATGGAGTGCAAAGAAGAGTGTTGTTTTGTGTTGCAAGTACCAACTCTGTTGCAACAGCCCCGAAACTGCAACTCCTAGTCACATATACCAATGCAGCAAAAATAACCTGTGTGTTTCCCTATGAAACTTGAGAGCCAGTGAGTTCTGACTGTCACCGAGGGTGGCAGTTCCTTCACTGAGCAGCTCTCCTCCCTGCCTGCATCCACAGTCACTGAGCATCTATCATAACAATTGATTACCGAGATGAAGATACTGAATCTATTACTTCTCTCTCTCATAATGAATTCAACATTTCTCAGGACAATGAGCATTTAAACTGCTGATCATATAAATGGTGCAAAACAGTCCATAACTCATTAACATATGAAAAGAGCAAAAAATACACCCAAGTCTATGAATTTTTTTGTCAGTGACAATACAAGCCACTTGTACAAAGCTCTGAAGAAAAAAAAAAAATCTATCTGTACACTTAAAGGATTTTATTAAAGGATTTTTTTTCCTTAGTAAGTCACGGTTAGTAAGAAAAAGAAAGTCCCAAAATCTAGTATTTTAATTAAACAGTGTACATTTCTCACTGGGTTTGTTTGCTTTTATGCATATAGATTCCTCTAAGGTCCCTAAAGCTAGAAAACCTGAATGCTTTTAAAGATGTTCCCCTGCAATATGTAATTGAAATTCCTTAAAATATTTAGAGTTCTAGAAGGGAATGTTCTGCAGCAATAAATTACTGTAGTGTCATGGTAGCAACATACTGAGAGGGCAGAGTAGTTTTTAAATTCCTATTCTTAGTCACTTACAATTTTGTCTATATGTTGAAATTTTTTAGCATTAACTCCAATTTTGCCTTTGGAATGCTTTTTTTTCTCCCCTCTATTTCAAAATTTGGTTCAGCATCATAAGCCAAAAGCAGATCTCTCCTAAAACTCCAAATCTGTCAGCCTAGGACTGAATGAAAAAGGTTGGGTTTGTCTTTTTAAAGGAATAGAAGACTGAAGTACCTTCATCGGGTAGGAGTATTTCTGTACAGCTTGAATGCTTTTGCCCCAGCCTCTGAGATTTTCCAGGCTGAACCAGGATGTGCCTTGATCTCACAAGGGACGTACACATCCCCACCTAACCGAGCATGGGGATTGTCCTGTACAGCTCTACACGTGTTCAGAGCCAATCCCTTCACGGGATACAACTTCCATTTACAAGATATTTAATTCATAAAGTAGGACCTCTAACATCCCTTCTCGCTCTGTATTTCTCAGAATGAACCCGTACAGAGCTGTACAGAATTTAAATCTTTACTATAATTTCCTAGGTTTATGATTGATGAGACAAATCTTAAAGACATGGAGTGGAAAGTAACTGTTCATCCCGCATTTTCATATCCTGAAACCGGAGATCACTTCCCTTTCCAGACAGCTTAAAATCTGAGTTATTTGAGATCATATTTTAAGATATTTAGGTTCTCAGTTCCTACACAGCTGCTTAATGAGGTATTCAAATACAAGAGGCCTTCACAGCACTTGAGAGGCCATTCTGTGCTTTCCCTATTTTAACTGTTTTTCAAGCTTTGTTTCTCCTTTTGCTCATTCTAGACTTTCCTTGCTTTTGTATGTAGGACTTTCCAGGACTTCCCAGAATGCCCCAGGTTTCCGCTCTTCCCTGCAATCTGATTTTAAGCATTTTAAAGAGCTATTGGGCAGACCGCTGCCCTTCCTAATGGGCAATGCCAGCAGATCCAATGTTGTAATATGGTGTTGAAGCAAAGCCACAGCCTCTGTCTTGGGTGAACCAGTATCTATTTCGCAGAGATTCCCTGATTTCCCTGAATATATACTCACAGCAGAGACTGCTGCTCTGCTACCCTTTACTTTTCATTTAGGAGGAGTTAAAATACAGGGTGGGAGTCGAATGCCTGAGCAGAAACAAATATGTTTTCTGCCAATTTTTTAATGACTTCTTAAGAAACAAACCTGCTATAAAGTAAATTTAGATGTATATATAGCTAACAGCTCCTGTAGAGCCTTACTTTAGTATAGGCAATAGCAGTTGAAGCTACAGCGGGAAGAAAGGGGGGAAGTGGGAAAGGGGGGGTTCCTCTCTAATCTGCTAGTCCTCTCTGAGGCTGTGAGCCAGAGCAAGCAGCGAACACCCAAGAGACACGCAGACTGTCATCCCGGCAAGAGAAGGCACCCGGCCCAGACGGCCCTGCCAATCCCAGAGCACGAACGACGCAGATGGTGAGGGCGGGAAGGTGCCCCGGACACAGGGGTAACCCCGGTGAGCCGTGTCCATCCGGCAGCTCCAGGGATGCTCCGGCCGGAGCCCAGGGCAGCGCCCCCCCGGGCCGCGTTATAAGGAGCCGCCCTCCCGGGGGCAGTGGGTCAGGTTACTATCTTCTATTTCTCCTTCCTCAGTAACCCCTTGACATTTCTCAGCAAACTTAACAGTATCCATAACAACAACTATTCCTTGAGGAAATTTTAATTACAATATTGTTTGGAACTGTTGGTTGTTTATTGTGACAAGACAAAGAACATGGGAGAGGATTCATTGAGAAATACGCTTCACACTGGGCTGAGGAAAAGGTTGCTTTACAATGATTTCTGATGCATAAATCCCCCACATTAGAGATAGGATGGAAAAGAGAGATCTAAATAAAAAAAAAGAAAAAGGTAATGTGCCTGCACCTAGTATTGCTGTCAGAAAAGTGTTCATGCTAAACAAATTACAAGGGAGTTGAGGAAGCTGGAAGGAAGATGCTTTGGTTCCAGACTAAAAAGGAAAGTAGAAGAAAAATCAACAGTGCTGGATTTTTCTGGCACCCTTAACCATATGGGCATTTATTTCAGGGGTGCAAATACTGAAAACAGGTATTAATACAAATAAGAGTCAAGACTACATCACAACTTAAGAAGAGCAAACAGCAGTGCAGACTGGGATGTGTATTAAAGGGAAAAAGAAACCAAGGAGGAAGGAATGAGAAACTGATAATAAAAACATTTAAGGGTAAGGTATATCACTTAGAAAAATAGGAAAGAAAAGATCTGCTCCGTTTAAAAGAATGTATGGATGATTATTCCTCCCCACCCCATTACCAGCATCTGGTACAGAGAATAAATCCAGTTCCTTTCTGTGAACAAGTGGTGTAGACAGAAATTCACATTGATTTTAACATGCTAATTCCATGTGTAGGAACAAGAGTGTATTCTTAATTAACCCTGTAAGGAGCAAACACAACAGACTGACAACAGCACAGACAGACTAGAGAAGCTACTTAAAGTTATATATGAAAACAACAAATGGTACTGAAGTCATTATTTGAGGACCAGCTACATTTTAAATAAACCCAGATTTTAGACAAGTCAAGGTTATACCAGTTATGGGGTCACTATTTCACGTAGTGACATCCAGAAGATCCAGACATGCTTCAGAAACTTCAGGATTGTGTCCTCTAACCACTGAGCCATTAAGCACAATCTGAAATTTTAAGGCTCTGTTTGCACTAGCAAACTTTGACAACCATCCTACCAGGATACAAGTAGACAGGGCACAGCCATTAAAGAAACAACCCTCAAATAGTCCAATATTTTATCATGCCTTATTTTGTCATTGTTAAAATCCTTTTAGGAGTATAATATACCATAGGATGCTTCCCAATTAAAGACCCAGTTGGGGCTTTGATGTCAAGAATATCAACTCCCCATGCAAGAATCCAGAGTAAGAAATTTCAGGGGAGGAAAAAGCATGCTGCAGAAATCTCAGGAAACAGCCTTTCAAAGTGAGGTAAGATCACAGCTTTCTATTCTCCTCCAAGTTAATTACTTAACCTCCTAGAAAAAGCAGCAGAAAAAATTGCTTACACATGACCTACAAAGAGCAGGCAACATAGGAGTGAAAAAGCAAATAAAAACTGAGAGAATGGGTTTGTTTAGATGTTGGGCAATGATGGTGGGAGACACAGAGTTACAGTGTTTTTACTGTGGTTAGCACAGTGGCACGCAGATTTCCGAACTGGACTTCTGGTATCAGTATAAGGAAGATAAAGAACAGACAGATGCTGAGCTTCCATTTCAAAAACAGTTAATCCACTTTAATTTACCTGCATCATGTTGTGTAGTTTAGCTCCCCTCTGCATGCTTCTTTGCATTCAGTTTATTTCCTCTGTCACACTCCAAATTTCTGTTACTTCTTCAGCTACAGAGTCTTCTTCACCTGCCCATGAGCAGACACAGCATTATATTCAAATTTCTGTTCTCATTTCGTTTAGTATTTCAATAAAGTACACCTCTTGTTTCCAGGCTGACAAGTGTGGAGGAGTGGGCAGCGCCATGGAACACGGCCCACATACCCAGTGATTTCAGGTAATTTGAAAAGAGAAAGCTATTTAAGGGGGGGGGGGGGGAGAGAGAGAGGGGAGGGGAAAAAGCAAAAGGCAAAAAAAGAAAAAACCACCTTTCTTATGTTTTTCTTCTCTGTCAAAACTGAAAAGCAAGAATCAAAAGCTTTGCCTCGTGTTTTGTGTCAGTGCTAATTACACCCCTGCTGCTGCCGGCCAGTTCCCAGCACAGCATCCCACCGAGAGGGAAGGCCTCTGTCCCTGCAGTGGGCAGACCCTCCTCTCCCACACCAGGAATGCCTCTGAGGGAGAGTGTGCTGCTGTTTTGACAATCCCTTTCTTTGCTGCCTGGCAGAGCTCCATCTCATTTCAGCAAAAGCAGTATTTCCATGCTCTGTCCTATATTCTGCCCCAACTTCACAGCATCCCGTGTTCTGACAGCCTTTCTCATTTTTGGTAATCTCTCTTTTTCAGTCTGTCTCACTGAAACAATGGAAATGTTAGACCCTAAAAACATTACAGATTATGGACATAGCATCTTCACTTCCCTGACTCTCACTGAAAACGAACAGAAAATAAGCAGAGTGACGTTCTCCTCCACACAAGTGAGAGTGGCAGATTCCAGCTCTTTGATAGCTGTCGATTTCGAGTAATCCTGGTGGGTACATTTAAATCCTTGTTAAGGGCTTCCACATTCATTAGGAATAAATCCAGTAGTTATTTGGCTCTGTAATTATTGGGGATAATTTGCAATTAAGCAATTGGCCTCTGACGAAGGGACAGATAATTGATCAGCTGGTCTGGTATTTTAGAATGGGGTGGGGGCTAATTAAGTAAATCCAGTCAGCTAAATGTCCTCCTTCCCACTACGTCTTTTCCCACCTTTAAATACAAACCAGACCTCATGCAGCTGTGCAGGCCATGGGAGTCTAAGCCTATTAAAGAAATCTTTTAATGACTGTAAAGCTACCACTAATTGAAATAAAAATATTTTCACACTATTTTCACATTGTGCAAATGGATCCAAAAATAGTTCCTAATGCAATACATGGTGCACAAACTGCTCTGCCTGACAAGTGCAGCATTTAATTTGCACTAATTAGTCCAAAGCGGGGGCAGTGTGAAATTAACATGATTCATTAATTCTGTGGTTTATGTTTTACATACTGTGTGTTTACATTTCAAAACTATTAGGTTCTCTGATACCCAACATGCCACACTTCTGAAATCATCAGGTTCAAGAAGTTCTCCCCGCATCTCTTTGGGCACATTCAGATTTGATTTCTGGATTTGCAGCTTGTCTATTTGCTTCAAAACAATTGGTTGCTTTTATATTGCACTGTTCCTTCATTCGTCCTAATCTCAGCCTCAGCTTCTTTCTGACTAAATACTCTTTTGAGTGGCTCAGGTCACTGTGGGATAAGCATGAACAGAGCAGCAGGTGAAGAAGCAATTTTCAAGAAGCAATTTTCAAACTACTCTATGAACTAAAAAAAATTTAATAAATCCTTCATATCAACAAAATCTGAAGTTTTCATGATGCTGTTCCAATATTTGCTCCCATAATGATATCAGGAGATGTTCATTAAAGATCTAATCCAGAGCCCTGTGAAAGTCAACACACAGACTTCCACTGGCTTCAGAAGGCATAAATATGCCAGCTTCTCTTTATGCTGCAGAATACAGGACTCCAAGAATTGTAGCATTGGCCAAGTTGTCTTACAAAATAAATTATCTTCAAGTGAATTATGTTGAAAAGCATTTTAAAATATATCAGACGTAGCTAAATACTACATTTCTGCAAATTAAGGTGCAACAGTTGTATTTACATTTTTGGACATACTTGCAATGTCAAACTTGGTCCACTGTTTCCCAGGATACAGGTTACATTTCTACAAAGACCCAGAGCTATTACAGCTAGAATTAGGTGTATTACGGAATACACTGTGACTTTGTTTACTTGTTACCATTAATGACGGGTAATGAAGAGAGCTCTAAAAATCCAGCAGACACTTTGTAAACGTTGTCTGTCCTCACAAAGAGGTGGTGGCTGGCCCACCCCTACAAATACCTCTCCAGTAGTCTCAGAAATACAGCAAAAAGATGTGCTGAGATGTAGCCATCTCCTGTAATCAAGAGAAATTGAGGCTGTTTTCCATACCTGAAGGTGCTGTACAAGGTACCCTGAGGCATGAAAGAGCAGCTCCCATAATTGGTAGGAGAGTGGCAGGACAGTGTAGCAGAAAGGATGCCTGGACTGGGCTGTACAATGTACAACAAGCAGGCATTGAGCACTAAATGTCTGGCAGAGCCAGGAAGGCAGCACAGGCCGAAGCCTGGCCACTCAAGGAGTGAGAAGTACCTCAGCAAAGCTAAGTGGTGAAGCATTACAAACTGTGAACTTGCTCAGCTGGGGTTCCTGGAGGTAGGGTAGGAAGTGGTCATTTGAGGCTCTTCACAAAAAAAGGGGAAATCAGGAGTGACATTCAAAGGGTAACAAAAGAGAAAGGAGACATTTTAAATTATATAAGCCTGACAAAAACTAATGCCCTCCATAATATCTAAAGTAACCTGCTAATGTTTGTAAGAACCAACTGAAGCAGAAAACTGTTAGATTTTGGAAGATTCACAGGTTCTACAGCTAAAAAAAAAAAAAAGGCAAAAAAGCCCCCAAAAAACCAAACCAACCAACCAACCAACCAACCAACCAAAAAACCAGTTAGCTGCTTTGAGGGCAGTTTTCATCTTCTGTTTGAGTTGTCTGATTTTTTTTCCCCAGTATAAAAACTGTTTTTTTGCTCAGTAACCAAAGTCAAGTAAGGAGTAGGAGTAACAGGACTATTTTCTTCCTCATCGGGACAAACGAACCTCATGCTGGTCCCATGTTGCAGGTCAGAATATGGCCATATCAGTTACCTTGTTGAGAATAACAGGGACAGACCAAATACATATACATAGCTTCATTGTTAGCACATGTCTCATTAAGACAAAGCCATAATTTAAAAACATAGAAAACTGCTTATACACAAATCTTCCATTTAGCAAGATTTTCTGATTGGCTATGCACCTTTAAATGACTTATTTGTGTCAGCCTGGTTCAGGATATATCTGGAGCACACAATGTCATCAAGAAGTGCTATTTGATTACAGTGCAATACTTTGGGTGGCTTTTAGAAAGCAATAAATTATAGCATTACCATGTACCATGCATAACATCTCTATGCCACTTAGCAAGTATGAGGCCAAAATGAACACTCTAACCTTGAAAATACATGATTAAAGTGCTGCCTCGTGGACTGATATACAAAATGGCTAAGTTTAGTGATCCTTCAAATCCTGGTTCCCTGGTGAGCACAAAGGGTTCTGATGTACAAGGCTCTGCCAGCAATTGTATAGGACATAAAAGATGTGATACCTTCAGGAGTACCTGGGCTACTTAGAGTAAGAAAAGGCACTCAGAAGAAAATTGGTATCCTTTGGTAAGGTGCAGACACTTTCCAGCATAAATTTAAGCTGTTCTTAAAAGTTGTAGTCAGGCAAATGTCCCTACAGGTAAGCAGTATGGTACTTGAGAAAGCTGGGCCAATACTGAAACAAGTGGTATCAGTTTAGAAGGTAGGCAGCTTCATTGCTACAATCAACTAAGTAAATGTCTCGTTATTTAAAACGGAGTTTCTGTGCACCTCGAAATAAATAACACACAAAGATTTTTCTAGCACTACTAGGAGATTCAGCAGCCAGCATCTTTGAAGTAAAAGGAAGTACAAACTCAAAGCATTGTGTCATGTAAGAAAGCTACAGCTGTTTAACACAGAAAATAGCACTTTTCCTGATATACTTTTATCAATACTTTTGCCAGAATAAGAAGTTCATTCACATTGTCTGTGTCCTTAAGTCACTTTCTGTTTGAGTGACTCAACCATCGCTGACTCCAATGTGCTGTTTCTGTATTCTAAACACGACTGGCCTACAGCCAAATACTTTTGATATATATTAAATGAGTTACATGACCAAATGGTATCGGGTTTGTTTGTGTGTAGATAAGTTCAGACAACATTTGTGCGCTGTTCTGATTCTATTTAAGTATGTGAAGAACTTAAATCTCTCTTGAGGTACCCTTTTACCTTTTCAAGTACATCTTTTTAATTCCCAAAAGCGCCTGCTTAAAAATGTTCTTCTTTATCTGCATATGCAAGTGCACATTTGATGGGCAGTAGGCTCTTATTGTTACATCTGCACATCTATGGATGTGGGCGCCTGTCTATCTGACCACAAGCAACACACAGATGGTCTTGTGTCAGGGCCTGCTTGAGACTCAAACATGAGAAAAGGGGTATATTCAAATCTGGTGTGTGATTGGGGGGCAGGGGGGTATTTGTAATTCCACACTATCCCTTTCTACTGGGAAACTTGTAAAATTTCACTTGCAGTCCTGGAAAGGATTTGCACAGCTCTAATAGAAATGCTCGACTAAGATAGATGGGTCTGGGAGTGTCACATGGCCTTCCTGAGCATAAGTTATGTTACTAAATCAGCATATTGATCTGGGAACAGAGCGTCCTGGAATTCTGAAAATGTCAGGCACAGTCTCAGTGCTTCACTTCTTTAAAATCAAATTAATTTAGCCAACTTACTCTGGAGAAGAAATGACGATGTCAGATCCATGCAAACAGCAGGGTGTCGGGCACTCCAAGTCCCACTGCCTTTGACCATTTTGAAAGGAAGCACCTAAAAGAAAATAGCTGGGTTATCACCTAGCTCTCCCTTGGTGGAAAGAACCACCACCACAGGTAATGTGGGTCTCTGCTTATGTGAACTCGGGCATCCTGGGGCCTCACAACTCTCCATGGATCTTTGGGGATTCCCAAAGTGGGGATAATCAAGGGGGTTGAGAGGTAAAATTATATGGTTACATGTGATGATACTAATCATTCTACCTTATCCATGGGGTACATTTGAGATTAAAGGCTCAGATAGTCCATGGCCTTGCACTGTGATCTCCAGTTCTGTATGCATGTTTAATCAAGCGTGCTAATCCACAAATGCACGGTCAGGATTGCAGTATTTGGTGTGAACAGAACACTTTCAGCAAGCAGGGCCCATCAGCATGAATAAATCTGTAGAAATTAGCCATGTATATTTAGTTGGTAGAATACTTACATATTGGCACAAATTGCTCCTGGGGAAAAAGGGACAGTCTGCCAAAACATATACAGTGTGGACTTTTTCTTCTTACCTGACTTGACAAAACATATAAGGCAAGCATACAACGTATGCAAGGAAAAGGAGCAACTAGAAAGTTTCAAAGAACAAAACTGATCTATGTTCTTGACTAGAAGTACCAACACATCCTGTTCTGACCCCACAAGACATCACATAGCTTTGATTCCTACACCACAGGGACCAGGAGCAGCACGGGAGCCCCAAAGAGATACAAATTCCAATCCTGCCCTGCCATACACAAAGAGTGGGGCTGGAGAAGCTCTGCTGGTAATCCACCCTGCAGAGCTTGGTTCAGCTCCCTGGCAAAGGAGAGGTCACTACGACAGAGGCCAGATGCAGACCACTCACTCTGACCTCCCACAGCTTCTTGTGCTGGCTCCGCGACCTACAGGCTTGTCTGATCAATCCTATTACAGACATCTCTTTCTGGACTTTGATGTACTCGAGCTGAACACCCCTTTCCTATGTTGAAAAGCTCATTAAAACTAAAGGTGACATAGGCATCACTGCAGGGATCTGAGGGTCACCAAGACAGAGCCAGATATATCAGGAAGCTGCAGCCAGAGAAAGAGACAGTAGGACCTTGTCTGACCTGTACCCTTTGAAGATGAGGTGGGCAGGCTGTTATCTACTGCAAGTGAAAAATGCACAGCCACAACTTGCTGATACTGTGAGCTAGGAAAAGAGGGGAAAAAAAAAATCTTGAATATGTTATCAAGACAACTACAGTTTCTTCACTAGATTTCAGCAGAGAAAATCTGTACAAAGGCATCCTGGCAGCAGCCCTGCCCTTCTTCTCTAAGGTAATGATGAAATATAACCAGGCAAACTGGAGGATTCATATTATTCATATTTGAAATAGGATTATGCAAAGGAGAGTTGGATTGTAAATTGATTGGGAAGTGGGAAAAATCAGGTCTAGGTCCCAGCAGGCCAAAAACTCCTTCAAAATAATATAACAAAAGGTGATGATGTTTTCTCTGGAAAACATTATATGTGGCAAAATTCTGTTTAGCATTTACAGAAACTGAGCAAAAGGGAATACAGACCCCAGGAACTTATAAGGTACAGTGAAGAGAGAGGGTAGTAGGCAATAATGAACAGCATAACATGCAGCACAAATGCCTGTGTCCACTGCAGCCAATAAAAACACCTCCCTCATACACAAGTTGCTTTTAATTTGTTCTTTTCCTCTCAGAACCACCCCTTGGCTTCACTAAATAGAGAAAAGCCTTGATGTGCATCAATAGCCAGCCTTAGTGTAAGCTTTCTGCTTCCCATTTCTCATGGAAGTGAGAGTGGTACATGACATTACTCAGGACCCTGAAATTTATGTCCTCCTCTTTTCCTGTGTGAGTAATAACCCATAGTCCCACCAACTCTGCTGTACTTCGGAATATTTCTCCATGTCATGGTTTAACCCCAGTCGGCAATTAAGCTCCATGCACCCACTTGCTTACTTCCCTTCAGTGGGATGGGGGAAAGAATCAAAAAGTAAGAGCAAGAAAACTCATGGGTTGAGGTAAAAACAGTTCACAGAATGGTTTGGGTTGGAAGGGACCTTAAAGATCATCTAGTTCTAACCCCCTGCCATGGGCAGGGACACCTTCCACTAGATCAGGTTGCTCAGAGCCCCATCCAACCTGGCTTTGAACATGCAGCACAAATGCAAAGGAGAGCTGGATTGTAGGTTGTTTGATGAGGAAGTGATAAAAGCAGTTCTAGGTCCCAGCAGACCAAAATCTCGTTCAAAAGAATATAACAAAGGGTGATGACATTTAACAGGTAAAGCTAAAGCTGAACACAAGAAAGCAAAACAAGGAATTCATTCACTACTTTCCACAGGCAGGCAGGTGTTCAGCCATACCCAGGAAAGCATGGCTCCATCACACATCACAGTTATTTGGGAAGACAAACATGATCACTCTGAATGACCCCCACTTCCTTCTTCTTCCCCCAGCTTTTAGGCTGACTGTGATGCCATATGGTATGGGATATTCCTTGGGTCATTTGCAGTCAATTGTCCTGGCTGTGTATCCACTTAATCACAGAACATTCTGAGTTAGAGGAGACTCACAGGGATCACCGATTCCAGCTGTTAAGGGAATGGCCCATATGGGGATCAAGCCCACAACCTTGGCATTATTAGCACCATGCTCTAACCAGCCAAGCTAATCTCAGGGTACCTTCCCCAGTCCTTGTGCATCCCCAGTCTCTTTGCTGGTGGGGTGGGGTGAGGAACAGAAAAGGCCTTGAGACTCTGTGTAAGCACCACTCAAAAGTAAGGAAAACATCCCTGAGTTGTCAACACCATTCTCATGCTAAATGCAAAACACAGCACTGTACCAGCTACTAAGAAGAAAATTAACTCTACTCCAGCCAAAACCAGGACACTCCACATCTTCCCTTGGCTAAGAGGAAAGCAATTCCCCAGAAGAGGTTTCATCTCCACCATCAGGAATTTTCTCAGTTCTGGCTGCTCATGCAAACAAAGATGTTCCAAAATATCATTAAATCAAAGCTAATCAGCTGGCTCCTTGTTTGTCTCAAGACACTGTTCAGACTTCTTTATTTAAAACCTCACATAGATTTGGCTTAAGCTGCTTCGCAATTCTTTCCTTTCCAATTCCTCCACTTACCTAATAACGCTTTTTCTTTGTCATTTCCCATGCCCTTCCAACACAGCCTTCCTGTAAGTTTTCACCTCATCTCACCATTGATTTTCAAGCCCTGTCTGAGGATGCGTTCCTTTTCTCCTCTGTGTCTTAATTTCTCTCCTTGAAAAGCAAGATCTATTTCAGCTCTGCTGCCTCTGTGAAGACAGGGAACAACACAAGTGTGCTACAGCCACACTTGTGTCCTAGCCAATGAGGGCATTCCTTACAGGATAAATTGAGATGCCACAACACAGTCATTCCTCTCTGAAGCTTTATATGCTCCTCGGGTGGTCTTGTGCTGAACTCTCCACACAAGCTTAGATTTTAAAAATTGCAAGTTGCTTTTGATGCTACATTGCTTAGATCTCACATTGAATATGATAAATCATTCCCATTCCTTAGTCCTAATTATTTTCCCTCCTATACTGCAAAAAAATAAGCTGGTATTACCACGAAATCCATAGACCTGTATTTAGTATTTCTTAATTTTCATGCCCTTTCCCCACCCTCACTCGCACATTGAACCTCCTTTGTAGGCAGTCATGGATTTCTATCATCTGAGGATCAGAGCACTGTGCATCCATCAAGAAGGGTAAAATATTCACAGGAAGAGACTACAATATGAGGAAGAGGTCCAGAATGCATAATATGTGTCAGAGGAACAGATGTACACAGAAAATAAAAGTTCTGCAAACTGCAATAAAAATTTCCTCCATGACAAGAACTGTGCATTTTTCCATGGCTGTCATAGATTTCACGGAACCACTGAAATCCAGACATTTTCAGAAATCCCATGAAATTTACCTTTTCACCTGAATCCACATGAAATTGGAATTTTTCTGTAAGAGCCCCTATAAAATTGGCATATTTTCTTAGAACACCCCTTGAAATTGTATAGAATATTGCAGGTTTTTTAGCCTAGCCTCTCATTGCACATCTTAAAACTACAACCTCAGCTACTGATTTTTTGCATTTCTTCCTTTCAGAATAATAGATTATGCAAAAATACAATAGGAATGAAAATACTCTCCTATAGGAAAGAAACTAGAAGTCCTCATAAATATTTTATAATTAGCACAGAAAGTTTGAATTTATACACAGTGAATTTTTACCAGCTCAAGAGTAATCTCAATTGAACATTCTTCTTTTGACCACAGAAAAACTGACACCATGGAAACTGTTATGTACAAAAATGTGCACAAGTTTCTAATGATGCTCCTTACTTCTTTTAGGGAAGAAGGTAAAGGATGAATCTACCATTGTGGCACTTGACCAACACTGAAGAACTGCAACTGAGAAAGTGCCACCACAAACGAGCCACAAACAAGAACTTCAGGAGGTAAATACAGTGCAGTCAATTTATTCTTTAAACATACTATTCGCTAAAATAAATTCTTCATCTCTAACAAAGAGGAGCAGATGCTTTGGCATAAGCATTCATTAAGTTCCCTGAGTGACAGCTGAGCTATTTGTTCTAGCTAAAACAAGTCAATACAACAGCTCAAACCCCACCTTACACGAGTTGGTCAGCAGGCATCCCAAATCACAACCCAGGTCAGGTCCCATTATTGCAGTTAGTTAAATTCACACTTCAGCAAAACTACTGTCCAAGTGAGAACCACAAATCGAGGTTCTTTCCATAGTCTCCAATTAGTCTCCTTTGATCAGGGAGCAACACAACAATTGATGATAGCAGGATTTAACTCTAGCAGTTGACCCAAACTCAAGAGATCTCAGGGAAGGCAAAAATAAACAGTTTAGGAGAATTGGTAGTGCTGCTGAGAAACTTCTACAGAACATAGATGCCAGTGCAGACAAGGAACAGAAGACACAGTAGCCACAAGATAA